GGGCAGGGGTAGGTATGGCGCAGGCAGGGGTGGGCAGCGGTGGGCGCGCTGCCGGGCGCTTCGCCGCGCGGCCGCACAGACCTTCCTTGATGGAGCAGGACAAAGGTTTTGTTCTTCTCCCAACAGTGCAGCCTTGTGCGGCCGCGGGCAGCGGCGACAGGCAGCAGTCAGCGCGGCCCCGTGCTCCCACGCCACGGCGCAGGGGGGGAGTTTCTCCTCCTTTGTCTGCTCCCGGCCAGGCAGCTGCCGGTACGCGGCAGCGCCGGAGCAGCCGGGGAAGGGCCTCGGCAGGATTCGCGGAGCACGGCGGCCGCAGTTCCCTCCGCCCCGGCACAGCCACCGGCCCGGCCCCGCCGCGCTGGCAACGAGCAGCGACCCCGGAGGAACCGAGCTCTTCATGACGGAAACCCGACCAGGGAGCGGGGACGGCAGCCGCGCCCGGGGACGGGGAGGACGGCAGCACTGGGGACAAGGACACTCGCGCCCCGTCCCCTCCCCCGGCGCCCGCGGTCGGCCATGGGGAACGGCATGAGCCAGGTAACGGGGGGCGCGGAGGTGGGAGACCCTCACCTGGCGGCTGCCCCTGCCGTGCCAAGCGGCGTTTCACCGCCCGGCACGGGATCCGGCTCAGAGCTCGGCTCTCAGGCAGCTTGTTTTCCTGCCAGCAGAGTGGGTAAAACCGGAGGAGAAACAGAACGGGACACTGCGCCAGGGCCCGTCCCGACAGCTGCTTAGGGGGTGTGGAGGGCAGGGGTCACAGCGAACCTCTTCGAGGGAGGGGGGGAACCTTTCCCAACACCTCTAACCCCAGGGAACCAGCTTCAAGCACACACCGGGAGCCCTGTGAGACCCCGAGCCTGGTGGTCCCACACCCCCTGCTTGGTGGGGCCAGGCAGTGCATGGGACTCAACATCAATCCTAGGCAGAGGGGGTGGGTGCTATTTTATTTATGTGCTGCCCCGTTTTCTCCTGCGAGGAGCGGGTCAGCAGGGTGCTGGGGACAGGCACGTGCTGTTTATTCACGGTTCAGTGCCCTGCCCTTGGGAGCTGCCCTTGCTAACTGGCTCTCTCCCACCGGTTCCTCTCAGTGCCGCAGCTGCCGAGTTAAAGGCACCCCGTCCGTAGAAAATGGATCTAAAATCTTAGGAATCATAAAAAAAAACCCCAAACCTCTTTAAGATGTTCAACTGAGAGAAACATTTCCTGATGGGAGCAATGAGACCAGTGTGAGCCCAGCTGTGCTGGTGGAAATCACCTCCACTTGCCCTGGGCACCAAACACTGCTGCAGGGAGAAGCTGGGGGAGAACCGGCGGGATACAGGATTGAACAGCCCTTCACTGCCCGGGCTGTGAGTGAGGGAGAATATAAAATAGCTCCGTGTCACAAGGGTTGCAAGGTGTCCTGCTTCTGCATCTGCAATGCTGTTAATAGAGGCCTTGTCAAGTAATTATCTTCTCATTATGAGAAGTGGAATTTCCCAGGGGAAAATGCGCTGAAGGCACGGTGTCCAGAGCAATCTGTGCCTGGCCTGTGAGAAATGGGCTCCCTGCAGTGCAGAGTGAGGGGAACAGAGCTTGGGGCTGGGAGGGGGACAGCCAAATGCCCCCCAAGCGTCTCTGTGCCTGTTGCTTTCCTATCTCTCAGGCAACAGGACTTACACAGGTCATGGGTATAGTCCAAGGCTGTACAGAGGTGTATGCAACTTGCTGAGCTCAGGTAATAAACCCCAACGGTGGATTTATTGATGATAAACAAGAGGAGCAATAAAAAAACTCCATGTCTGACTGCCAGCACCCATTAGGTGCAGCATCAGATGGCTGCAGGTGCCAGGGCTACATCCAGCCCCATGTCCTGGATGCCAGGGCAGCATCAGCCCTGGGAATACACAGGTCCAGTCTCACCACCACTGTTCCTGCCCTGGGGCTGGTGATGGTCACCTCAAATGCCAGAACTTTGGCCCCTCCAGCCAAAGTTGCTGCTTCCCACAGGGGGTCCCAGCCTGCTGGGTACCTCAGCACAAGGTCACTGCTCATGCTGCCGCTTCCCCTTGTGTTTGTTCCACAGATCCTTCCCGGCCTCTACCTTGGGAACTTTGTCGGTAAGCAGAACCCAGATGCTGCAGAGATGTCCTCCAGCTGGGGAGTGGGGCTTGCTTGAGTTGGTGTCTTCCTGCCTGCAAACTCTGCCCGACACCCTGCCTGCTCCCACTGCCCTGCCATCACCCACCACCCGCTCTGCTCTGCCACCCGGTTTGGGCTGGCAGCAGTGGAGTGGAGGCATGGTGGGGAATGCAAGGCAGAGACCCTCTGCCTTTGTATGGTTTCCTGATTTAAAGGCTGCCCTGAGCTCTTCGGACACACAGGGTGAAGGGGCCAAGGTGGGGGGAAAGGGATCCTGTGCTGGGAGCAGAGGAGCTGGTGATGTCGCACCAGTGTGAGGAAGCAGGACTGGGGCACCTTGGGGTGATGCTCTCCCGTATAGGAGGCAGGAGGGGGCTGCCCACCCTCAGGAGGGAATTTCTCCCAGAGGCAGAGTCACCCTTTCTCCCACCAAGCCACTATTTTAAGGGGTTTGCATTACCAGGGAACAATTCATGACCAAGGCTTGGCATCTGCCATGAAAAAACAGCATTTGTTAGTACTCCCACCTCCCTCATGGGTCCTTTGGCAGCTTGATTCCTGCAGTAAGCTCTGGGAAGGTTTAAAACCACTGGTGTGAATTGCTAAGGAAATGTCACTGGAATGGCAGCCCTGTGCTCCCTGCACCCCATGGAGCACCTCAGGGTGGGCTGGGGGGCATTGGCTGTGGCTTGCTGGGAGCAGAGGGACAAGGACACCCAGCTCCCAGGTTCATCACAGGGGTTCCTGTGGGCAGCTCTGCTGTGGGGTCTTGGCCTGATGCCACCTGAGCATCGCTCTGCCAAGCAATCCAGGGTGACAACGAGATTCCAGGCCTGCAGCATTAAGCTCACAGAGATGTTTTCTCTAACTGGAAGCTTTTTCAGCCCCTGTAAGCTTTGATTCCACTGTCACTACTTGCTGTCACTGCCTGCCGAGGGAGATGGGAAGGTGGCAGGTGCTCTGTGAGTCCCCACAAGGGTCCCCACGTCCCTCCCCACATGCACAGCACAGCTCCCCCACGGAGTGTCTCCCTCGAGACTCACTCCTATTTAAATTCACGTCATGCCATCAGCACATCGCGGTCTGGATTCCCGAGCCAAGGTTTTACACCACGTGAAATTTAAAAACCCAAAGGAATGAGACGGGGAAATGTTCCTCCTCCTGTCCAGCCACTCTTGCAGCATCCGCTGGTCATGGCATGAAAGGGAGACACTTGGAAGTTGCCCAGGAAGAGGAGCACACTCCCATCCCAGCACAGTAACTGTTGTGCTGCACCAGAGACCAGGATTCACGGCCAGGGTGCTGAAGGGTTAGTGCGAGGCTGGGCACCGTCGGGACATTCCTGTCCTTATGGCTGCAGAGAGGACACACCAGAGCACTGCTCATGTGTTTTCTACAGAAAACCAAGAGTTGATATGAATTCCTGCAGCTCCATAGTTCACAAGATAAGGCAGATCCCTCAGGCTGCAGCAGGTCCCAGCGCCGGGTGTGTCTGCCCAGGGAGGTGCAGGCAGGGCTCGAGTCTCCTCCCAAACTGGGGACAAGTACAGGCAGGAGGGACACAGCCACAGAGAGTGTTTCTCTGCAGGTGTGAATGCTTCCGCCAAAACATGCAGCAAGGGCAAGTGCCTTTACAGGGAGAGGTCTGTGGTTTGGGATCACGGGGTTTGCATTCCAGATTTCCATGTTTGCCCATGTCTGCGCTGCTGCTCGTGGGGGTGGGATGCAGTTGATCTGCTGGAGAAAGGCTCTGAGTGTTGCCAGGCTGCAGGAGCATGGTGGGTGCACTGTGGGAAGAGGAGGGTAAGAAGTGAATACACGTTGATATCTAATTTTATCCTTTAGATGCCAAAGACCTGGAGCAGCTGAGCCGGAACAAGATCACCCACATCGTTTCGATCCATGAATCCCCCCAACCCTTGCTGAAGGTAGGATCCTGCACCCCATACCATCATGTAGATCCCTGCAGCTCCTTCCATGCTGCATCTTCCTTCCCCCTCTGAGCATCCCACAGCACATACACCTCTCCCTGCTCCCAGAGGAGCTGGACAGCCCCCCTGGCATGGGAAACTGCCTTGTGACTGTAACCCGGCCTTGAACACTGACAGGAAACAATTTCCAGCTTTCCAGCCTCATCTTGTTTCCCATCCCCTCCCACAAGTTGCTGATGTCCCCCTGCCCTCCCCTTCACTCAAGGGAGAGTGTGGCCCCATCCCCACCTCGGGGGATGCTGGTGGGGGGTGGGTAGTGAAACTCCACAGGCAGCTCTGGGTGAGGAGCAAAGGTCCTGCCAGCCCAGCTGTGAGCACATATGACACCCTGACTGCAGTGCCTGAGCTTTTCCTCCTCCTGTTGTGTCTTCCAGGATATTACCTACCTCCGCATCCCCCTGCCGGACACCCCTGAGGCCAACATGTGAGTACTCTGAGGAGGCCAGGGAATGCTTGAGGGCTGGGGTCTGCAGGGCAACCAGGGGTGAGGGCTCACTGCACCCCAAGCCCTTGAGGTGCTGCCTCCAGCTCCTCAAGCACAGCCACCCACAGGCTAAAGGTGTGATGCTACAGTGCTGGGGACCACCCCTGGACCCCAACAGCATCCCAGTTTAGTGACCACTGTGAATGGCTCCAAGCCCTGGGGTGAGGCAAGGGGCAGCCCCTCTGCAGCACCCATGGACAGGAGCAGTGAGCATCCTCCCGGGAGTTGCCTGGAGAGGGGAGAAGAGGTAAAGGGTGAGGAGCCAGCCAAGGGTGCTGGAGTAGCTGAAGGTGTGAGCAGCCAACATCCCACTGCCCCAGCACAAGTCACAGGGCAGCCCCATCCATCCCCAGCACAGCGTCCCCTGCTGCGTCCCCAGCATGGCATGAGCTGGCAGATCCACCTTCCCTTGGGAATCAACAGCACTGAGATGCTCAGGTCTCAGCAGTGGCTGGCAGAGCCCCTCGAGCAACTCAAACACGCAGGGCTGCTCTGCCTGTGGCCAAAAATCCTGTTCCACCCCTGAACTTCTTATTCTGTCTGGTTTATTTTTCCTGCAGCAAGAGACACTTCAAGGAATGCATCAGTTTTATCCACCAGTGTCGCTTGCATGGAGGGAACTGCCTCGTCCACTGGTAATGTTTCTTCCCCCGTGCCTTCTGCCATGTCCTCCCAGCTCAGCAGAGATCCAGCCCCTCGCTTTGGCTGCAGACCCCTGATCAAAGCCAGCCTCTGCCAGAGGGCTCTGTGCCCACAGATCCACCCAGGATCCACCCTTGGCTGCAGCCTGTGACTCAAATCCAGCGGGATCCAGGCAGTCCTGGAGCCAGGGCAGCTTCTTGCTGCAGCTGAGCGTGTGGGATGAACGGGGTTCGGGGCAGGCAGCCAGGCAACGGCCACTGCTCCCATTCCCTGGGGAGGAGTGGGTATTTATAGGCACTGATGGCCAGGACCTTGGAAGGGCTCAGACCTCCGGGAGAGCGAGTCCTCGGAAAAGAGGAACTGCTATAGCTGAGGCACAGGGGTGGAGGAAGAGGCGAGCGTGTGGGTTCGGTGTGCGCCACCACCCAAGCCCTTCTGCACTTTCTCTTGCCAGCCTCGCCGGCATCTCCCGCAGCACCACCGTGGTCGTTGCGTACGTCATGGTCGTCACGGAGCTGAGCTGCCAGGAGGTGCTGGATGCCATCCGAACCATCCGGCCCGTCGCCAACCCCAACCCCGGCTTCAGGCAGCAGCTGTCTGAGTTCGGCGGCAGCGCAGCCCGCAAGGTGGGACCGGCCTCTGCCACCTGTGCTCTGCTCTGCTGAGCCTGCCACGGGTCTCAGAGCAAGGGCAGGTCCTGAGGGCACTCAGGTTTCTTCCCCACTCCCTTTTCCGGCAGGCTTGGACCTGCCCTTGGAAACTGGTGCCTTATTTTGCTTCTCGCTCCTTCCCCAGGTCCGCAGGCACCTGAAGCAGAGGTATGGGACATCCCCTTTCAATGATGAGGAAGAAATAAAGGCCTTGCTGCCAGCAGGGAGAGAAGGAACATCCAGGACAGAGGGAGCTCAGCAAGGACTGGTCCCAAGAGCCAGAGACATCCGAAGCACGAGTCCCTTCCTGCTGCGGGTGAAGAGGACGTTCTCCTGCATCCCAGCTTGTCTGAAGTGACCCCAGCCAAGGGAGAGCAGCGAGAATCACCCAACAGCCTGGGAGAGATGAAGGACAAAACACAGTGGGATGGGGAGCACTGGGCAGGGACCTGCACCAAGCCCGTCTCCTTCTTCTCTTCTGGGCTGGGAGAATGCCACCCTCTGTGTGGGTGGGATCCATGGGCACTGCCGGACTTTGCAGCACATGCTGGGCTCATCCTCTTCGCATCTGGCATGCTGGGTCTCTGCCCTCAGGTCACTGCAGGCTCCTGTTTGGGCCATAACACAGAGGGGGTCTCTCCCGCCACGGGCCAGCTCCCAGGTGTTGCCAGCAGCAGCTTTAGCACTTGGGTACCCACTGCACAGGCCTCAGGGTGCACAGGGTGCAGGAGAGCTGGCGCTCCCCTCAGAGCATTTTCCCCACCAGCAGCACAAGCTCCCAGCATCCAGGTGGCTGCGGAGCAGGGACACGCCAGTGTGTCAGCAGGTAATGCCACCACACTGCCTCCTAGGCGAGGGTCCGGCTCCAACCTGGCCAAGCACAAGCCCTGAGCAAGCACTGTAGCTTTAGGAATCCATTGCACCCCATTCCTGCCCATCCCAGGGCACAATCTGCAACAGGTGGGAACCAAGCGTTTAACCTGGCCAGACCTCACTAGAGCCTTAAGCCATTTTGCTTAAAGACTTTCTATGTCCCCGAGTAATAAACATCCCTCCTCTGCCATCTGACTCCCCTGTGGTTGGCTGGGTTGGAACAGGGATGCTGAGGAGGAAGGTCCTGGTGTGGGGTCCCCCTATACTCCTCCCAGCTTCTGCTATTCCAGTTCCCTCCCTTCCAGGCCAGGGCTCTCTGGCACCCTTTGTCCCCCCAGCACCTGCACCCCAGGACCACACGTGGATGGATGTGTGCCTCATGCATAGCTGCACCCTCCCATTGCTGGGACATGCTATGCCAAGGTGTTTACACCCAGGGATTCCCCTGTTCCCACTGTAAGCCACACAGGGCCCCTCCAGCCCAGCTCAGCAGCACAGCAAAATGTATTTATTTTGGCAGATCTGGTTTGCACAACTTGGAAAGCCCCGGGCGAGGGCAGGGTTAGCTATGAGTTAATGTTTGACTCCTTTTTGAAGCTCGTTTCTGCGTGAAAAGTTTAAGGGTTAAGCAGCTTCACCTTCCCTGTGCAGGGAGCAGCACAGTGGGGAATCCGGTGTGGAATCCGGCTCCTCATCCTCATCGCTGATGCCCGGGTAATTGGATCCCCCGGGGTCCCGCGTCACCGCGCGGCTGTCACAGCACATGAAATCCCCGGCCGATAAAGCTTATCCCGGCGGGGCTGGGGCTGGCAAAAGAGCCGGCGGCTGCGATTATCTCCCGGCCTTGAATGTAATCTCTGCAAGCCACTGAGAGACTGTGCAATGACCCCTTGCCATTGCTCCGCTTCCCAAGGCAGAAAGGGGACGTGTGGATTCTCCGTCCGTCAGTCCCAGACCCTTTTCCCGGAATGTGGCCCCCCCGGCACGCCCAGCAGAGAGTGGTGCAGGGGCTGCCTGGGCTTTATTCTGCACCAGAGAGGCCCCGGACAGGCTCAGTAAGGAGAGAAAATCCCTGCCTGCGTGGCTGGGTCATCCAGCCGGTGTGGCCCCATGTGCCCTCTGTGCCACGTGGCCACATCCTGTCCCCACGTCCTTTTGGAAAGCCCGCGACTGGGCGCTCTGCAGCTGATTATTCACTTGGAGGCTTTGCAGCCCCAGCAGCTCTCAAGAGCCGCGTTTCTCCTCCCTGCGAGAGGTGAATTTCTCTGACTCAAAGCTGGAAAAGAGACCTGAGGGGCTGCAAAAGGTGGCCGGGAGGGGGGCTGCAGCAGGGCAGGGGAGCTGGGTTTCCCTGCACAGCGACATGGGGCTCTGCAGCAGTGATGGAGGAACCAAGACTAGCGTCACGCCAGGGTGGTCCAGAGACCCAGCCCGTGCCCCGCTGAGGGCCAGCGGGGAGCTGGTGCAGGATGAGTCAGGCTTCCTCCCCGGCCCCGGCAGCCCTTGGCGCAGCTCATCCGCCCTTCCCACCCTGTTCCTGTCCGACTCAGGGTACAGAGCCCCGCGGGACAGACGTGAGCGGAGACGGATAAGAGCAGAGGAGAGATCTGAGAGATGGGAACATGTGACTGCTCACACCACCCTGGAAACCCCGTGCTGTTCCCGCAGCTCCCTGCAGTTCCCCACACCCGCGGGATGAGCTGCTGGTCCTAGGGAGGACACTGTCTCTGGGGCTGGGAGGTGTTTAGGTCTTCGAAGCAAGAGGATGGGGGAGCAGGGTCCCTTGTCCCCTTCAGGGAGCAAGTGAGAGTCCTAAAATCTAAGGGAAGGCACCCGGGAGGGGTACAGAGGAGTTCCACGTGCTTTCTAGTGCCTTTTCCCCTCTCCTGAGAACGCAATGTGCCTGTCCCCTCCCCTGCGGGTGCAGGGTGCCTGTGTTGAGAAATACGCCCAGTGCGAGTATCTCTGTATGTAAACTACCAGTGCGAGCTGCACATTGTGTTCTGGATGATAGGAAAAGGCTGAGCCTCAGGTAACAGCAGGGAATGGGCGCCCACCCTTTCCCTCAACCTGCGGCACCGGCTGGGCTGGGGGTTCATCACCCAGGACTCTGCAGGAGCCAATGAGCAAGCGGAAGAGCCTAAAATCTCCACTGGTGCACGTGGGTGCCCAGACTGTGAGGGAGTGAAACCCCGGGGATGCCTTTTTTGGGGGTCTCTCCCGGAGTCACACTGCTGTACTACTCAATTACTACACCACTTTTTCCTCAACTCGGATGTCGGACACTGCTGCGGGAAACCTGAGGCAGAGAAAAAAATTTAAGATCCGTCCCCTCCGCCGTGGGGCAGCCAGAGCCGGCGGCGCGGTCCGGGAAAAGGAAAGTGAAAGCCGGCGCCGCTTTCGGTTTCGCCGCCGGGCCGCGATGGCGGAGCCGGGGTCGCCCATGCGGCTGAAGGAGTGGCTGATCGCGCAGATCGACAGCGGCCGGTACCCGGGGCTGCGCTGGGAGAACCGGCACCGGACGCTCTTCCGCATCCCCTGGAAGCACGCGGCCAAGCAGGATTACCGGCAGCAGGAGGACGCCGCGCTCTTCAAGGTACCCCGGGCTCCCCGCGGTCACCACCTGGCCCTGGGAGCGCCGGCGGGACTCGCCCCCGGGGCTCCGTGCGCACCCCCGGAGCTCAGCATTGCCTGGGGCTCCTCGCTGTTCAGCTCCGTGTGCTCCCCGCAGCCCCCCAGGACACACAGCCCCGGTTCCCCACTGTCCCCCCACCCCCCCGCCCCCCCAGCCCTGGTGCATTCGTACCGCGGAGGGTCCCCTTGGGCAGCGGAGCGGGGGGCCGGGGTGTGGGCAGCCCCCGCAGCACATGGCACCCTCTGTCCCTCAGGCTTGGGCCGTCTACAAAGGGAAGTACCAGGAAGGGACGGACAAGGCCGACCCCTCCACCTGGAAGACTCGTCTGCGCTGTGCCCTCAACAAGAGCACCGACTTCCAGGAGGTGCCTGAGCGGAGCCAGCTGGATATCTCTGAGCCTTACAAGGTGTACCAGATCGTGACTGACAGAGCCTGTGATGCAGGTACCTCCTCTTGTGCCAGATGTGGGGTTGCTGCCTGCACCATGACTGTATGAGCCCCGTGTCCCACGTGTCACCCTTCTTTCCTGCTCCTCTTCCTCTCTGGGTGTTCTGGGCAGCCAGCTGTCTTTCCTGGGGCTGTTCCTGCCTTTTACCAGGGGCTCATCGGTTTTTCCTTGCTCTCTGCAGAGGACAGTGACACACAGTCCCCAGGCAGTGAGGACCAGCAGGTGAGCTCGCCCCGTGCCATCTGGGCAGGGGAGAAGGTGGGACCCCCAAAACTCCCCTCGTCTTTCAGCTGCTCTCCTGGCTGGACACTGCCCATGGGGCATTGCTGAGAGTCCCCTGTGCCATGCAGCTGCCAGACTCAGGCAGGGGATCTACTGGTGCATGGGGTCCATGGCAGAGGCAGGAGCCAGCTCAGGGACCCCTGCTGCCAGCTCAGCCCTCACTGAAGCCACTCCTACCCCCAGGGCAGCACTGTGGGGAGTCTAAAGAAGGAGGAGAGCCAGAAAGATACACTGGAGACAGACCATGGATCTCCACAGCCCCTGCACTCTGCCCATCCAACTGAGAGAGGTGAGGAGGGTCCCTGTTGATGGGATGGGGCTGGGGGCAGGATGCACACACTTTCTGGCAGGAGAGATCCTGCTCTCCTGTCCCCTGTAGAGATGAAGACAGGGGCTGGGAACTGCCTCCTGGCCCCAGCAAAGCCACTTAATCATGTACTTAGGTGCTCTTATGTAGCCCAATAATGAGCAAACATGGTGCAAAGGACTCTGCTGCCCTCCAAGCCAGGAGAGCACCTGGGAGTCCCCGAGGACAACTACCCACGTCCCTTTACCATCTCGTCTCTGCCCTGGTCCAGGGAACCTCGCGAGGGGAGTCTTCTACGGCTGGAACCCAACCCACGGCCAGCTCCTCCCCAGACTCCAGTCCTACCTCCCTGTGGAGGATGTCAGCAACCCAGGTAGGAGCCACAGTGGTGGGCAGTGCCTTGGGTGGCTCCACCAGCCCAGACTGACTCTCCCCTCTCCCCAGATTACTGGCTCCACATCCGCCTCTACTACTGCAACGTGCTGGTGAAGGAGGTGACGGCCCGCACGGCCGAGGGCTGCCGCATCACCAGCCGCGCCGTGCCAGCCGACAGCGTGTGCCTCTACGGCCCTGTCTGCATGGAGCAGATCGAGTTCCCCCCGCCGCAGGCACTCAGCGGCCACGGTCACGCGGCCGCCATGGCCGGCGTGCTGGAGCGGCTCCTGCCCCACCTGGAGCGCGGGGTGCTGCTGTGGGTAGCGCCCGAGGGGGTCTTCATGAAGCGCCAGTGCCAGGGCAGGGTGTACTGGAACGGGCCACTGGCCCCGCACAAGAACTGGCCCAACAAGCTGGAGAGGGAGAAGACCTACAAGCTGCTGGACACACAGCAGTACCTGCAGCGTAAGTCCCGCCTGCCGCCCCAGGTGACCCCGATCTCCTCGGGATGCCCGGGCAGGTCCTGCTCGAGGCCGTGGGGACTCCCTGTCCCCTGACAGGGTTGGTGTCTTGCAGAGCTGCGGGAGTACCTGAGCAACGGGCAGGTCATGCCGCAGTACCAGATCCACCTGTGCTTCGGGGAGGAGTACCCCACCAGAGCCGGGCACCCCTTCCAGAAGCTCATCATGGCCCACGTGAGTACACACCGGGGCTGGTGACCCTGACCTGGGCACCAGGACCATGGCAGTGGGGGATACAGACCTGTGCCCATTCCATCGCTCTGTGCCTCCGCAGGTGGAGCCGGTGTTCGCACGGGAGCTCTTCCTTCATGCCCAGCGCTTGAGGCCAACGTTGCTCCACACCTCCCCCCAGCCCTGTGCCCCCGGCACCTCCAACACCGTTATTCATGTTCCCATCAAACAGCTCTGCCAGCCCTGAGCTAGGCAGGAGAGGAGAACTCAGTCACCATAAAGTCTCAGAGCAGGAGGCTCTGGGCCCCACGGCCTTACTCCAGCTGTGTGTCCCAAGGCAGAGTACACAGGGTGCTCAGAGCGAGGAATCAGATGCAGGCAGGTGCTGGCCAGGGTGGGTGGGCACTGCTGCCCCTGTGAGTGCTGTATTTATTGCCCAGGAGCTCCCGAAGTAGGATTTGCTGTGTGCCTGTTCAGCCAGTCGGGGCAGAGCTGGCTCCATCCTTGCACTGCTGGGACTTGCCATTTGTGAAACTTAGAAATAAAGGTTGTGTTTTGGTACCAGTGTCAGGGGCTGGCTCTGGTGTGGGGGACTGGTGCCAGCTTGAGGGGAGCACAGGGGGCTGGGAAGCCAAATCTGTAGAGTGTGGGCAAAGCCAACTCAGCCCCAGCTGCAAAGGAACAGCCCTGTTCCTGTGGTGGCTCCAGATCCGTCCTGCCCTTCATCTGAGCACCTTGGCAGGGCTGAAGGCAGCAACAAGGTGCCCGTTAGCTGCTCTACTGACCAGGCAACATGAGAACCTGTCCCAAAGGCACTCCCTGCCTGTGCCTCAGTTTCCCCTGGTGAGTGGAGTGAGTGGGCTCCTGGGGGCCGTGCTGCACCCTGAGGGCTGGGAACGGTGCAGGGACCTGGCATAGCACAGGGCCTGGCACAATCTCAGGCTGAGAGAAGGGGCTGAGGCATTGGGGTGGGCAGGGGGCAAATGGGCATCTGAGGGCAGGGCAGCGCCCTCAGTCCTGCCAGCATCCTCCCACTGAGCCCCACTCCAGGCCTATCTGGAGCCCGGCTGTGCACTGTGAGCAGGGCAGGATGAGAACCAGGTCGTGGGAACCTTCCGTGGGAAAAGGGGCTGGGGGAGCCGGGGGCTGTGCCCGCCTCTACCCTGGGGAGGCCGCGGCTGTGCCAGCCCCGGGGCCACTGGCTGCTGGCCGCAGGTCTTGGCGGCGCATCCGTCCGTCTGTCCACAGGGACCAGTGCTGGACGGCAGAGCCCCGCTCCGCCCTGGGCGGCCCCTCAGAGGAGGGGCCCGCCGCCCCCTCGCCGACCAGCGGGTTTTAACGGGCCGTGCTGGGGCCGTGCGGCAGAGCGGGATCAGCGGGATCAGCGGCAGGGCTGGAACGGCAGCGGCTGGCCGGGAGGATGCAGCCGGACCTCCCCATCAGCGACGTGGTGCTGCGCAGCCCACCAGCCCCCGAGCCAGCCGGCGGCCCCTTCCCCGGCACCGAGGCCACCAAGCCACCCTACAGCTACATCGCCCTCATCACCATGGCCATCCAGAGCGCGCCCGAGCAGCGCATCACCCTCAGTGGCATCTACCGCTACATCATGGGCCGCTTCACCTTCTACCGCGAGAACAAGCAGGGCTGGCAGAACAGCATCCGCCACAACCTGTCCCTCAACGAGTGCTTCGTCAAGGTGCCCCGTGACGACAAGAAGCCTGGCAAGGGCAACTACTGGACCCTGGACCCGGACTGCTACAACATGTTTGAGAATGGCAGCTTCTTGCGGCGCCGCCGGCGCTTCACCAGGAAGAGGGGCCTCCGGGATGCGCCAGGCGCTGAGGGGGATGAGGGGCGCAGGAAGACCCCCAGGCAGCGGGCACGGGGGCTGCCTGCCACCCCGCTGCCTGAGGAGGGGAAGGTAGAGGGGGGCTACGCGTCACCAGCAGCCACGGGGCGCCTGCCAAGCCCTGCCACGCTGTCTGAGGGTGCCGGGGTGCCGGAATGCGCCGAGCCCTGTGCCCGGCGTCAGCCACCCAAGGCCACGCAGCCCTGCCTGTACCTGCCGGACTCGCCACAGCCCAAGGGGCCATTCTTCGCACCCCCCGAGAGCCGCCCGCCCAAGGAGACTGTCTTCCGGGGGCTCCCGGCGGCACTGCAACTGCCCCGTCCAGGTCAGTACCCGCTGCCCGGTGAGCGCCCGGCCCAGCACCCTGCCCTGCTGCCCGCCCTGCTGCCCACCCAGCACAGGGACCCCCCCCAGGACTCACCGGCCACACCAGGCACTCCCCCGGGGCAGCTGGAGGCCGAGGAGCCGGCTGCCCCCGGGCTGGGGACGGGCCAGCCATTCGGGCAGGTGCCACCAGCATTCCCTGGCACCCTCCTGGGCACGGGCAAGCCCCCTGCGTCCTGCTTCCTGGAGGGAGAAGGCTACATGCAGCCCTCCTTGCCCGTGTTCGGCTCCTTCAGCCGGCCGGGGCCCGAGGCGCTGGGCAGCAGCTACCAGTGCCGGGTGCAGGCGCTGAGCTTCTGCGTGAAGGAGCGGCCGTGCGGCACAGCGCTGGAGCATCTCCTGGCCGCAGCCCCCCCGGCCCCCGCCGCCCCCCGCCAGCCACCCTTTGGGGCCGTGGGGCCACGGGCGGGCGAGCAGAAGGAGCCCTGGGGGCCAGGGGCTGCCATCCCACTGCAGGGGGGTAATGGCTACCCCCTGGGGCTGCCCCCCTGCCTCTACCGGACACCTGGCATGTTCTTCTTCGAGTGAGGGACTCCCCACCCTGGTACGCTCCAGCACCCAATAAAGCACATTCCCCAATGCTGCCTCTGTGGTCTCTGTGCCTCACTCGAGGTGGGCAGTGGGCAGGGGCAAGCTGGGGACCCTCTGCCCCAGCCCCAGTGCTGGCTGGGGGACACACATCCCCAAGGCCACCCAGCACAGCCCCCATCCCTGCTGGCCCCTCCACTGGCTGGATAGTGAGGCCGTGGGGACATGGGGCATGGCCTGGGTCAGGGCACCTACATCCAGGTCCTGTGTCCCTGGGAGATGCTGGGGACAAGGTCCTGACACAGTGTGAGGCCGGGAACCTCTGAAGCCCCATGCCATGGTAGTGTGAAGGAACATTGTCCCTGGGGGTCAGGGGGATCTGCTGCAACAGAAGTTATCCCCCAGTGGAGCCTTGCTGTCACTTCCCTGTGCCTGGGACCCTTCCAAGAGCTTGGCTTCACCCCGGGTGCTACACATGGCATAAGTGGCACCAGCCTCACTGTGAGGCCCTGTTCGTGCAGCCGTGTGGCCCCAGAGAGATGCCAGGGAGGCTCTGGGGGTTGTGGCACAGTGTGGGGGCTCTGCTGGGGGGGGGGGGTTCAGGGCTTTCTCCCCTCTCTCTCCCTGCTTGTGGCTGAGCCAGTGCCTGGCTGGGATCCCAACTAGTCCCTGCAGACCCTGAGGCCAGGGCACCCCCAGAGATGGGCTGTGCCAGGGGCTGCAGCTCCGGTGGGAATGGCCAGGAAAGTGGATTCCTCCGACCTGAATCACGCCGGGCGGCTGCCAGTGAGGAGGCACCGGCTGAGTCACCGCTATTGGCACCCGTCTGGGCACAGGGACCTGCCCCAGTTGGCCAGGCTGTGGGACACAGGAGCGGGCAGGGGTCCCCATGCAGCCCCAGGGTGGGACCTGGCCACCAGCCCCTTCCCACACGCTGCTGGGACATCCAAGTCAGCACCTCTGCAGCAGTGGAGCAAGGCCAGAGTGATGCTGGCAAAGTGCAGGGCTGTGCAACTTTCTCCTCATTGGGAGAGTGGGTTCCCCAGGAGCAGCGACCCTACAGCACAGCCAACTCCAGGATATAGGGCTGACAGGAGCTCTCCATGCTGCTGTGGGGAGCAGAATTGTGGTAGAATGCTTCTGGGCCCCCCCAAGGCCAGTGGGACACCAGCTTGGTCAGTCTTGGGGGGGTCTCTGCGAGGTCCATGCTGGCACAGAGGCACAACACTGCCGTCACTCGGGGACCGGGAGCACCGCGGCCGCGTCAGCCCTGTTATCGGTCCCCAGACGGCTGCTGCTGGGCCGTGGCTGTGTCCCAGCCCCGGGCAGGGCAGTGGAGGGGGGCCTCCCTTCGTCATCGGGGACAGCCACTCAACCCTGGGCCTCTCTTTTCTCCCTTTTATTTTTTTCCTACCCAGTGGAAAACAATATTTGAGCGCCTACATCATGCTGGCGTCTCCGGAGTGGCCGGCGGCGAGCGCGGCTGACCTCAGCCCCCTCCTTTGCTCGGTCCCCCGGGGGCGCGGGAGGAAGCGAACGCCGCAGCCGTGCCCAGGGGCCGTCTGGTTCCCACGCAGCGTGGCCGGGCCCATCGCCCGCCCCGGCTGGGAACGCACAGCCCCGGCCTCACGCGGTGCCCGGGATGGGGTTCCCGTGCTGGGAGCAGTGTAGTGCACCCCATTGCCCACCCCGGACCGGGAGATGGGGACCCCCATTCCTCGCAGCCTGCACCACCCGGGGCACGCAGATCAGAGCCATGCGCTCTGCCGGTGCTCCCCTGCCCCACGCCCACCCTGACTCCTGCTCAAGGACCCGCTGCTCTCCCAGCTCTGCCTCCTCCCTGGCTCGCTCCTGGCTCGCAGTGGGTGGCCTGGCCCTCTGCCCACTCGCCTGCTCCCATCCTGGGCTGTGCCGTGGCCAGGACTGTGCTGCACCCAGTCACGGGGCGAACCTGCTGCTGCTGTTGCTGCCAGGTGCCAGTGCCGAGGACTGCCCACTCCCCCTCCCTACCTGTGATGCCTGCAGGGCCCCTTCTTTCTGCGGGCAATGTGGGTGCCACAGAAACTGGGCAGAGGCCCACATGGGGAATGTGTGCTGCTCCAGGCACTGGGGATGGATGCTATGGACACGTGTCTGCACACCCAGACTGTGCTGTGCATTCACAGGAGTGACAAGGACCCCACACAGGAGGGATGGAACTGGCTGCCATGGCCTGTGCTGAACAAGGAGCAGCCCTGTCACTGAGTCCCTCGACCAGATCACTCCACTCCCCAGATCTTTGGGTCCTCACAAGCTGTCCTGCCTCTCAGCTGGGAGCAGGGGATGGGATCACAGCTACTTCTATGGGTGTCAGATCTGTGGCCCCGCTCATCCAGTCTCAGTGGTCCCATGGTGAGAAGGAAGGGGCTGGAGATGCCAAACCTGGGGTGCGGCGTGGAGTCGCCCACCCTGGGACATGCTGGTACCTGTGCATCCCTGTGCAGGGCTGTGTGTACAGGAACTGATGCCCCAGAGCAGCTTGGGGTGCCAGGAGTGTCTGGGGGCAATGATCCATCTGGGAGCGCCACGGCCACCCTGCAGCCCCTGTGGCCAGCCGGGGCCAGGGCTGGGACCGGGCGATGCGCAGCTCCTGGGGCCAGACAGGAAGGAGACGTCACCGCCGCGGAGCGTAACTCAAACCAGATGGGGCTGCGCTGGCGTCCAGGCCTGCGGGGTGGTCACCGACAGGAACCGGTCAAAGGCTGCCGGCAGGAAGCGGCTGGGAGGGACGCCCGCGGTGGGAGCCGCAGTCCAGGCTCTGGCAGCCTTAACCACTTCGGGGCTGGTCGCAGACCCCCTGGGCAGAGGGGCACCGGCACCCACCAGCCCTTGCCTGGGCATCCCACCCCCTGTGGGCAGATGCTGAACCTGTGAGGACACCTCTGACTCACAGCTGACTATCCATCCATCTATCCACCCATCCATTCATTTCCCCTTGTCCCAGCACAGCTCAGAGCTGGGGGGTGCAGAGACCAGGACCCCTCAGCTCTGTGCCTGCACAGCCCTCCCTGGGATGTACCAGGTGGTCCCCATCCCCAGCATACCCTCTCCAACCCCTCTACCCCAGGGATGAGATGCTGCTTCCCATCCTCATCTCGCTTACCCCATGGCTGCAGGACTCTTGCAGGTGGGAGTGGGGCCTCAGACCCCCAGAATGGCAGGTGTGGGCTGTGGGCAGACCTGTACATTTATTTACAAGAAGGCAAGCGCCGGGCAGGGCTCCATCATGGGGCAGAGTCCCACCAGCTGTGGCCCCTGCCCAGTGGGGACAAGCCTGAAGCCCCTTTCCACTGCTGCAGCCAGTGGGGCTGGAGGGCCATTGTCTCCCTGTGTTTCTCCCCAGGGTTTTTCCAGCAGGCACAGAGGGCACAGGTGGCCCCCGAGAAAACACACAGTCCTCGCTTGGGTGGGCTCAGCAGTGGTGAAAGCCAAAATTGAGGCATCCCCTGCCAGCCCTCCATCCACTCCCGCAGTGGGCCAAGGCTGGATGTTGCAAATCCCAGGGGATGCACATCCTCTGGGAGCAGCAGGGGAGCCCTGAGGGGTGCAGGCAGAGGGGACGGGGGGTCAGGGCGAGGCGGGGGAGCAGGGGCAGCACCCCTTTTCCCCATCCCGGCGGGTCCCGGGGAGCCCCCGCCCGCGGCGGGGGGAGCTGGCGGCCGCAGCCGGAGCGGCGGAGCGGTTCCGGTGTGTTGGTGGTCGGGTGAGCGGCGCTGGCCGGAGCGGGGAGCCCAGGCCAGCTGCTCTGCATTAGCCCGCCTCGCTCATCGCGATCTGGCGGGGACGGGTGAAGCAGAGGTTGTGTTTTTTCCCCCCGCTGGCAGAGGCGAAGGGCAGGGAGGGCAGGAGGAACACAAAGCCTCCTTCTTCCCTCGCTGGCTCCCAGCTGGGGACGCCTCTGGAAGTGTGCTTGCCGCTTCCTCCCTTCCTGTGCGAGCAGCAGCTCAGGGCCAGCTCCGCTCCCACATGCCCAGCCGGCCAGGGAGGAGGTGCTTCAGCCTTAGCTCCGGTGCCAAGGCAGGGTGAGGGTCCACCGTTCCCTCCAGCATCATCGCCGAGCCACAGAGCTGGGAAGGGAGGTCGGGCAGCGCGGAGACCAGCGGCAGTGAAGGCAGGGCAGGGCAGGGCTGCGGCATTTACAGGCAGAGAGGGCACGTTTTGGGTCCAAGAGCAGCAAGCACCAGGTGGCCGAGGCAGAGGGGTCACGCCGGAATGGCCTTTCCTCCTCCAAGGGCACGGGAAGGAAGCGTGAGCGGAGCAGAGACGCTGCAGGTCGGGCATCACACAGCCAGGCCAGGGGGGAGATCAGAAACCTCCTCTCCAGAGCAGCCTCACAGTCCGAGGAAATATCAGTGGGGGCATTGGCTCGGTGGGAACAGCGTAGGCTGGAGCCCCAGGAGCCCCAGAGGTCCTGAGCCTGAGCCCTCAGCAGAGGGTCCTGAGCTCAGAAATGCTGGTCGGAGTGGGATGAGCTCAGCAGAGCTGCTGCAGGTGAGGATCCCAGCAGGGTCCTGGCCCCCAAGCGGTCTCACAGCTGCTGGATGCCAGGCAGGGGCAGCCCCAGGGATGCAGCAGAGCAGCCTCGTGGTGACAGTGGCACAGAGCAGGGGTGTGACGTGGGCACCAGAGCAGAATCCAGCACAGCACGGGCAGGGAGGGTGCAGACCACCCCCAGCTCCTGGCCCCATGCTGAGAAGCTGGGAAATCAGAGAGGTCCTGCTGCTGTCCAAAAGCAAGACTGATGTGGGACCCTCTCCAACACTTCCTCTCTGGCCTTGGCCCCCCTGGAAGCCCAAGCTCAGACGCCCAGCGCCGTCAGGGACCCTGAGCTGGTGATCTTCCTGAAGCGGTTGGCAGCACACACCCCGATGAAGTTTTTCTGTAAAAGGGAAGAGGAAAGATGCTCATCCTATTGTGAGGACTGTGGCTCTGGAGGCTGAGCCAGACCCCATTCTTGGGCTTGACACCACTCCTGCCCCTAAAAGTGGGTTTTCGGATCCACTCAGGAGAGACGACCACAAAGGGATCTAAGCTTGAGGGGGGTCTCACCTCACAGGCACCCACACGAGGACTCTGGAGCTGGGGAGCCCTCCCTCCAGGCTGCCAGCAGCACAGCAAGGCAGAGCCACCCTCCACGTCCCAGATGCCATCCACCAGGACAGACAGAGACTGGCAGCCCCTCTACCAGCCCCCTCAGAAGGTGTGGACCCTCATCCCCATTCCGGCCCCCCTCACCTTCCAGCGCCGCCTCATGACGTATTTCTTGAGCAGCACCTGGGACTTGAGGCGCCGGTTGGACTGCTTGGCCTTTTCTGCCAGATTATTGAGCCAGGGATGCTGCAGGCACTGGTCGGCGCTCATCCGGGCACTGGGGGAGAGAGGAGCCCACGTCACCCCTGCTGGAGCCCCTCACCCCCAACCACCCCCTTCTCCAGCTGCCCCAGAGCCCCTAAAACCCAGAGAGAGGAAAAACCTGCAGAGAGAAACCAGCCAAAAGGATGTGCCCAGGGACCAGTGGGGCTGGGCAGGACCTCAGGGGATCCAGCTTGTCCTGCAGGGTAGGTGTCCCCTGGAGGGATGTGGGACTCTGTTGGGGACAGTCAGCAGCGGGGCAGGGCCCCGTGGGGTTCACTGGGTGCAGGACCCAGGGGTGGCTGCAGAGGCAGGGCACGGTACCCAGGGCAGCTCTGGGGATGCCCACCCCAGGACCCCAGTGGCCACTGCCGACTTCACACCTTTTATCCTTGATGATGAGGTTTGAGACGAAGTCCTTGGCCTCATTGGAGACGCTCTCAAAGGTCTCCTCATCGAAGTACCAGTTGGCAGCCAGGACGTTGTTGAGCGTCTCGGTGTCGTCATCACCCAAGAAGGGGGAGAGGCCACTGAGCCTGGGGGTGCAGGGGGGTGAGGAGCTGGGTGCTTTCAGGCTTCAGCACCTTCCAGACCCCCCAGAATGGAGCCACTCTGCCCAGGGCTGCCCCAGGGAGGTCATGTGGGGCTGGGTGCCTGGGGACAGCTCTGTGCCCCAGGCAGCTCTGCCCCAGCACCCTGGCCCCCTGTCCAGCCCTGGCAGCCCCCACCCAGCCCTGACGTACAGCATGTAGGTGATGACACCCATGCTCCACATGTCTGTGGAGTAGGAGACCTGCTCGTAGTTGACCACCTCAGGGGAGAGGAATTCAGGGGTGCCGAAGTTCACCTTCAGCTTCTCGTTGGGGTTGTACCTGCAGCCAGGGGGGACACATCAGCAGGAGGGGCACAGGCTGCTCCCCCAAACCACTGCCCCTCTCCAGCCGAGTGCTGCCCTCCCAACCCTCCCATGCCAGCCAGGGAGAGCTGTGGCCAAAGCAATGGCCTAGAGCGGGTCTTGGGCACCCCAAGGGCACAGAGAGGTGTGTGACAGGAGCAGGGAGGGAGCTGAGGGGGAAAACCTCACCTTCGAGCCAGCCCAAAGTCGATGATCTTCACCATGTGTCCGGTGGCAGAGACACAGAGGATGTTCTCAGGCTGTGGGAACAGGGTGACCATTGCCCCCCGCCAAGAGGGGACATCCCCACTGCACAGATCCCGTGGCCGACCCACACCGGAGCGATGCTGACCCACAGGCATCCCTCCTACAGCTGGCCAGTGTCCTGCTGTCCCCCCCTGGCCCCTGTCACTGTCACCCCCCAGCCCCACACCTTGAGGTCGAGGTGGAGGACGTGCATGTGGTGCATGAAGCGGATGCCCTCGCAGATCTGCCGGACGAACACCATGCAGTCCACCTCCGTCAGGTGGTAGTCGTCGTCGATGATCCGCTCAAAGAGCTCACCGCCCTCCACGCTGTGTGGGGAAGGATCATGAGGTCACCTTAGAGGGGCTCTCTGCCCCAAACCGTCCTGCTGCAGAGCCCTCTCTCTCTGCCCCGGGACCTGACCCAGCCCCACCGTGGAGACGCTGAGCAGAGCCACAGTGAGATGTGTTCATGCTGGGGTTGGACACCCCCAGGGCAGGCACAGGGGGGTTACCCTGGGACCCCTCAGCTGCCCAGCAGTTTGTAGAGTAGAACAGCCCCAGCACAGCCTCAGCCTCCCTGGGGCAAGTAGTCAGGGGAAAGGGAGCAGCACCAGGTGGAGCTGGCTCATCTCCACCCTCAACTCAACTATGATGGAGGGAGATGCTGTCCCGGCGGGGCAGAGCCTAAGCCTGGAACGGGGAGGTGCCCAAGAAGGGAAAGGAAAGGACATTCCTTGGGGCCAACCTTCTGCTTGGTCAGGGGCTGGCACATCTGCTCTAAGTCTGGCGCATCCCCCATAACGGTGCCCCTCACCCAGGCATCAGGCCTGGTGGGACACCGTCCCAGCACTCACAATTCCATGAAGAGGATGATCTCCCGGGAAGTCTCGATGGCGTCGTAGAGCTGGATGAGGTTGCGGTGGTTCAGCTGGTTCATCACGTCGATCTCCAGCAGCACCATCTCCTGCGGAAGGAGCCCCGAGGTGGTGTGGGGTGTCAGCCCTGCCCGTGCCACCAGGACAGGCTGTCACAGAGCCAGGGACACACAGGGCACAACGCTGCCAGCCCCCGCCTCGGCCATGCCATCGTGGCCAGGAGGACCCCCAGCCCAGCATCTTTCAGACCTTGTCCTTGGGTCCCTGCTTCCTGATCACTTTGGCTGCCAACTTGAGCCCAGTCTCCTTCTCCGTGCACGTGTGGACTTCACCAAACTTGCCCCTGGGGAGGGAGAGAGGGAGAGGTGCCCAGGCTATCAGCTACCCAGTGTTCTGGGGACCCCAGCACTGCACTGGGGTGCTGCCCAACGCTCCCCCCTGCACCCATCCTGCCCCAGGCACCCACCCCATCACAACCAGGGGAGTCCCATCCACCCACAGCTAGTGCCCAAGGCTGGAGGGCAACTTGGGGCGGTGCCAGGGGAAGGTGGGCATCCTTCCCCCTCCTGGGGCCCCTCCTTACCCCCCCAGGATGTCCTTGGAGTTGAGGCTGAACTGGGAGCTGACGCTGCCGGAGTGCAGGGTGACGGTGCGATGCACAAAGGGCGCTGGTGGTGGAGGGACGTCGTCTGCCCAGAGAGGAGGGATGGGGTGAGATGGGGGTGTCCTGTCCAGGGGACCCCAGTGCTGAGCACCCCAGGGTGCCCTGGTGTGAGGTGAAGGCAGACACCCAGCCAAGCCCATGGGTGCAGGATGCAGCTGGGTAGAGTGCTGGGCTGCCAACCAGGGGCTCCTGGCTGGGGCTGCACTTGGGATGCAGCATCCCCCAAAGGGTCCCTTGCTACTGCCCACAGCATGGCAAGGTGATGCAAGTCACCCACCTGGCTCTGTGGCACTCACCCTGCTCCATGGCATCCACTCCCACCATCCCATGTGTCACGTTTGCCCTCTCCAGGCCACTCTGCTGCCTGCCACCCACTCTAGGCCACTCCTCCTCCTCCACACCACCACTGCCTCCTGCTTGCCCTCCCAGGACAGACCCCACACACAGGGCACTCATTCCTGAGCCACCCTTTCCCTGCAGAGTCCAGGAGCTGGCCTCACAAGGATCCCAACAAGCACTCACTGCCCCCAAGCCCTGCCATCCCCACAAGGACAGTGGTGCAGGACACAGGGACACAGTGTGCCCTGCCACTGGCCAGAAGGTCACTGTCACTCCCCAGGCTCCTCTTCCTCACAGTCAGTGTGGCTGGACAGCCCGGGAGGGGACACGACGCATTTAGCCCTGTTTACAGTGAAAGGGGAGCTCGAAGGCCACCAGGCAGGTGACAAGCCAAGGGCAGGAGCTGGCAGCATGGAGGGCAGTGCAGACAGCAGGCAGGGCCATGGGGTCCCCGGTCTGTCATCCCACAGAGGGTCCAGGGGGGCAAGGACAAGGCAGGCAACCTCATGCCCTTACCCAGTATTTCAAAAGGGTCTTCCTTCCCGAAATCAGGGGTGAGGTAGGGGCTGGGGGGTGGCTTTGCCTCTGTTGAGGGTGGTTGCCCTTCAGGTTCAGGTTGCTCTGCAACCCCAGCGGGATCTGGGGGCTTCCCTGTGGCACTGGGCACTGTCCTGTCCTGTGGGGTGCTGTGGGGCTGCAGGTCCCCCATGGCTGGCGGGGCAGGGCCGGGCTCTGTCAGACCCTCTTTCGGCTCTGCCACCGTGGTTTCCTCTGGAATCATCTCCAACTCCGCCACCTCTGCCCAGGGCTGCTCCTCCCTGGAAGCAGGAGAGGGAGGTGAGCAGAGCCCAGCCAGCAGCCCCCGAGCCCAAGCACCCACCTCTGCCTGGAGGGACCCAGGGCTCCCTGGAGCAGCGAGGGGCATCCCCCCATCCCAGGAGGGTGCAGGTACCTGTGGCAAGTGGCCGGGCAGCTCAGGCTCTGCAGCAGAGCCGGGCGTGGGGGCTCAGGGACCCTTGGTGGCTGTTTCTCCATCCCCTTTGGTTCTTCCTCCCTTTCACCCTGAGCCTTCACAGTGACCATGGCTGCTGCCTCTGTGGGCTCCTCAGCCCCATCTCCAGCCTCCGCTGCAGCTGCAGGGGCCTCCACCTCAGCAGCTTTCTTCCCTCCATCCCGAGCCTTTGCAGCCACTGGGACCTTCTCCTTTGCAGGATCTTTCCCTTCACCCCCAGCCTTTGATGCAACTGTGTTTTTTTCTACCTTCGCAGTTTTCTTCCCTCCATCCTGTGCCTTCACAGCTGCAGGGGCTTTCTCCTTTGCAGGTTCTTTTTTACCTCCACCTTGAGCCATTTTTGCAGCTGGGATTTTTTCTGTCTTTGCTGCTGCCTTCTCTCCATCCTGAGCCATGGCAGCATCTGGGGCTTTCTCCTTTGCAGGAATTATGGCTTTCTCCTTCACTGGAGCTGAGTCTTTGTCCTTCTCGGGAGCTGGAGCCTTGTCCTTTGTGGGAGCCGGAGCCTTCTCCTTCATGGGCTCCTCTTTGCCTCCATCTGGAGTCTTTTTTACTGCTGGAGCTTTTTCTGCCTTTATCACTTTATTCTCCCCACACTGAGCCTTTGCAGCAGCCGGGGCCTTCTCCTTCACAGAAGCTGTAATTTTCTCCTTTGGAGCCTTGTTATCAGCTGGGGCTTGCTCTGCCTTTGCAGCTTGCTTCCCTCCATCTGAAGGTTTAGCAGCGGCTGGGACCTTCTCCTTTGCAACCACTGTGGTTTTCTCGTTTGGAAGCTCTCCTTTGCCTCCATCCTGAGCCTGAGCTGCAGCCAAGGCTGCCTCCTCTGTGGATTTTGCCTTCTCTCCTTCAGAGTTTGCTGCAGCTGGAGCCTTCTTCTCCGTGGGCTCTGCTTTCCCACCACCCTCAGCCCCTGACCCCCCAGGGGCTTGCTCTTTCCTGAGCTTGTCCTTTTCTCCATCTTGAGCCTCAGTTACAGCTGGGCCCTTCCCCTCCGTGGGTGCTGCCTGCCCTCCTTCAGGCTGTCCCAGAGCCTTCTCCTCCCTGGGCTCATCCTTCTCTCCATCCTTGGCCTTGGCAGCAGCTGAAGCCTTTCCTCCTTTAGGTTCTCTTGCAGCTGGAGTTTTCTTCTTCCTAGACTCATCCTTCTCTCCATCCTTAGCCTTGGCAGCAGCTGGAGCTTTTCCTCCTTTTTGCTCCCCTGCAGCTGGAGCTTTCTTCTTCCCAGGCTCATCCTTCTCACCCTTCCCCCTGTCCTGAGCCTTGGCAGGAGCCGGAGCCTTCCCCTCCATGGGTGCTGCCTTCCCTCCTTTAGGTTCTTCTACAGCTGGAGCTTTCGTCTTCCCAGGCTCATCCTTCTCCTCCTTTCCTACACCCTGGGCCTCGGTGGCAGCCAGCACCTTCTCCCCCACGGATGGTGCCTGTTCTCCATTGTGCTGCACAGTCGAAGCCTCCTCTCCTGGCACTGCTTCCCGTCCATCCCGGGGCTCTGGAGCAGACAGGGCTGTTCCCCGTTCAGGTTCTGGTTTCCCTCTTCCAGCCTCTCCTGCCGCCTTCTCCTGCCCAAGCTCATCTGTCCCCTCTTGGGGCTGGGCAGCCTGGGGGGCGGCGGAGGCTGCGCTGCCCTCTGCTTCAGTGGGGGCCGTGCCACCGGCCCCCCCGGTGTCGGCACCATCCTCCCCACCGCCCCGCTCCATGGGGGCTCTCCGGGCAGGGGGAGGCTGCCCCGCGGCGCTCCCGCTTCGGCGAGGCTCCTGCGGGAGAGAAAGCAGCAGCTGGGGGCTCGCCGGACCCTACTCCCTGCTCACAGGGGCACGGCTCCGCTCCTGCTGGGATGAGCTGCTGCCACGCAGCCGGGAACCGTGTCCCCACCGCCCAGCCGGCGGCTCCCGGGCTGGTGGCACCGAGCCAGGGGCCCCACGTGGCCACCGTTCCCGGCACCGTCCCATTGTGCCCCGATATCTGCCCCGCGGTGACTGATCGATGGCCTGACGCCGGCACCTGTCACCGGGTGCCTGGGGCCCCCGACGTGCAAACAGCCAGCGCGGCGCGGCCAGGGTGACAATTTAAGGCCACATCCCACCATGGCGGGGCAGGCTGGCGGGTGGGGAGCAGGAGAGGTGAGCATTCCCAGCACGGCCCCAACAGTGCTGGCCCCCAAACCACACAACCACACAGGCAAACCCCATCTGCTCAGGGGCTCTGTGGATCCCCAGACCCAGCAGCCGTCAGCGCTGCTTGTCCCCCTGCCCTGGGGTAACCAAGTCCTCCAAGGGGACCTGTTGGTGCCCATGTGTCTGCGTGGAGCTCCAGCTCAACACCTGATCCCCAAATCCCTGCTCTGCCCTGGGCTTCGCTGCCCTCCCATGCCCGGTCACCTCCTCTCACCCTGTCCCGAAACACCCACCCTGTGCAGCCACCCAGAGGCCAGGACAGCCCAGCCCCAGAATAAACCCACCAGCAACCATCTCAATAACAGGGAAGTTGCTGGCTGGTCTTACTGGAGCAGGCCCTGGGAGAGCATTCCTAGATCCCACAGCTCAGCCCGGGGAGCCTGAGGAGTCAGAGGTGTTCCTCCCAGGGCTGGGGGTTTCACTATCCTCAGGTCCCCCCACGCCATGCCCCAAGTGAGCGGCCACAGAGACCCCCCAGCCCCTTTACCTGGGTCCTGGTGCAGCGGGTGGTCAGGGGGGCAGCATCCGCACTGCGGCAGCGCCGGAGGGAGCAGCCTCTTCTATCCCGGGTGTAACGGAGCCGGATTAGTGCGGGCAGAGGAGGATCCTTTACAGCAGCAGGAGCCGTCCCGCTTCGCCTTTCCCAGCACCTGTTGCTGCTGGAGCCCGTTCAAAGGACACGCCACTCTCGCCTGTCCCTCGTGGGCTGGGGACACGCAGACACAGGGCAGGGGATGGGGACAGACCTCCCTCCTGCCCCAGCACAGCACCACAGGGAGGTCTGGCACTGGGCACGGTGGCACCCTGAAACCATCCCATGACTGTGGCCTGGGCAATCTGGACAGGGTCCAGGTGGCCAAGGTCTTCCAAGGTGCTCACAGGTGACACAAGGCAGCCACTGGCCAACCCATGGGGATGGTGGCCACAAGCAGCTGGTGATGGTGCTGGTCCTCTGTGCTCACCTTGCCTGCAGCACCTCCCAGGAGGATGTGACCCTGGCTGGGCAGGGGAAGGGACAGTGCTGCTGCTCCATATTGCCAAATCCCAGCTCCCAGTGAGCCAGCAGCATCTGTGAACCATGGGCTGGGGTCAGGCTTTGCCAGAGGAGCTGTGGTTCACATGTGGCATTGAGAGTGAGACGAGTCAGGGTGGAGTCATGACTGTCCCACCTGTCCCTGCCCGGGCCTCAGGCACCCACCATCACCACCTTTGTGCAAAAGCAATACTTGCTCAGTGGGGCACAGTCAGAGGCTCCTGAGCAAACATGGTGCTCTCCCACTCCAGCCTTCACAGTTTGGATTTGTTGCTTCCCTGAGCCCAGCTCCTTTCCCAAAATCCAGGGCAGGACCTGGAATGTGACGAGGACCATCAGGGATGATGCAGGAGCAGGCGCACAGCTCCAACCCCCAGTGCTTATGCAGTCGTGCACATGCAGAGGTTGGAGCATCCACACCCACAGCTCTTGGGGACTGCGACACCCACACTGCCCATTCCTGTGGTGAACAGGAGTCCCCCCACCTCGGCCTCCACAGGGCCTGCTGTCAGGAATAACCAGCCAGACACTGTGCCTGGGCAGCAGGGACTCTGCCCACCGACTGTCATCGCCAATATACAGTTTGTAATTGCCTCTCCCTTCCTCCGGCCGAGGGCTGCCAGACACCTGGAGGCCACCAGTGTCACTTCAGGCACGTACTGCCACCACTCCGCCAGCCTTCGGCTCTGCACCCTCCCAGCAAACCCTGGGTGGAAGGAGCACATCCCCACAGCCACTCCAAAGGCAGGGGGCAGGAGCCCAAATGCCACAGCCGTGCCCCACAGCTCCCTTGAGCTGCTGGTGCAGTGAACACTGGGATAAAAAACCCTCTCCAAGCAGAGGAGCACCCGCCTGGACACCAGCCAGACTTCCCAGGATGCTTGCAATCTTACACGCTCCCTGGGAGCAAGGTTGGTGCCTGGTGAGGAAACTTAGGGAGATGGTGACAAAGCAAAGCCCTGGGAGCAGGCACTGGCAGCCATGGAAATCATTCTCCAAAGGTCAGTTGTTGACCAGGTTTGGCATTATTACAGACAAAATTCGTTTGTGGGCAGAGGGAAATAAGCTGAAATCAGACCCCTCAGCAGAATTGAAAAGTAGGAGGTGTTGCACCCCAGGATTTTGGATGCCTTGGTCCAAAACCCCACACCCCAGGGAGCAGCACAGTGATGTGTCTCTCAGTCACCACTCAGGGTTCTCAGCCTGGGCTTTTCTTTTTTTTTTTCCCCCCCTTCCCATTCAGGAATTTAAGCCAGAGCCTACATTGGCTGCAGCTGGAAAACAGCCTGTCCTGGGGATATCTGGCAGTGCCTCAAGCACGCCGTTCCTTAGCGACGCCGTTGTCACAACTGCGGCAGCACACTTTAACCTTTACGCTTTCCACGGGAAGGGAGGCTCTGCGGGGCCAAAGCCGGCCCCGTTCCCTGGGAAACTCTACACCCCTGGCTAAATTGAGCAGCAGGGCAGGCTGAACAACATCCCCACCTGAATCCCAGCCATGCCACTGTAACACAAACCAGCCAGGCTGGCGGGCCTGGCGGGCACAGCTTAACTGCTTCCATCGGCGCCCAGGGCTTCCACGACGCGCTGCCACCTTGCCGTGACAGGCGCCATCAAGGTGATGGGGAAAGACGAGGAAAAACCCCATCATCGGCAGAGGGGCACCCAGAGCTACGCAGCACCTTGAGGACAGGAACACAGCCACCGGTGGCAGCACCAGTGCGGGCTTGAAGCACCAGGAGCCACCCACATGCAAGGGGTCCTCGCCACACTGGCAACCAACAAGGTTTCCTGGTAGAGAGGGGAGGGACAAGCAAAGCTGTGATTTGAGAACATCATCAAGCCTTTTCATAAAGACTTCATTCACTAGATAGTCAGATCTTGCAATTCAACATAAAAGTCCAAGAAGACGTTGCCTTTCAGTTACAGCTCTAGTCTGAGTTCAGCAAATTACTTTGATAAGAAATTATTTTGGGTACAGCTCAACTAGAAATGCATCAGAGGAAGATCTTGTATCCAGCTCTCCTCCCCTCCTCCCACTCCTTGCTCTCAAGGAAGGTGTGGAAAGGAGATGGGGTTTGAGTTCTGGAATGCAAGGGAAAATCACCTACCCCCATTTCCCTGATGAAGTCTTGATCAAACCCCATCCTCCCCAACATGCAGCTCCTCCAGGACACCCATCTCTTACACATTTTCTACACTAGAGCACTTCTTCCACCATGTCAACACCTCCCTCCTAATTAAGGGGGCAGGTCCCACCCACGAGCCTGTGGGAACCTGGTGGGTGACTCCATCTCAGCCCAACACCCCAGATCCTTGCAGGCACAGCTGCCTGAGGTTCTTTCCACTGTTTGTAGTGCATGGGGAATACAAGAGCCGTGGCTGGGGGAAGATGTAATGTCTTTTATTAGACCCAAATGATACTGTTGGGGGAAAAAACTGCCAAGCTGTCAGGCACACAGTGCCTTCCTCAGGGCAGGGGCAGAGGCCATATAGGGCCATCAGGGAAATCCAGCTGGTCCATCCTTCAGGGATCAGTGGCTGCTCCAGCTCCACAGCCTCGTTATCCTGCTTGCCTTTACATTCTTCATCAGCTCATCATCATTCCAGCTTTCTCCTGACTCATCATAAATATTTGCTGCTCCTGCTGCCCACACGCTGCCTGCTCCAGAGCTGGCACTCGAGGAAACAGCAAGGATTCCCTGACTGCACAGGGGAGGTTCAGCCACGTCCCTGTCCAGTAGATAACAGGGGTTAAGGCAGACAGGCCAGATCCACACCAACCCTAGTTTTCAAGGAGAGGATGCTGACACATCCCTCTTGCTCCAGTCACTCCTGTACATTGTCACAGCAGCAGTGACAGGAGCTTTTCTGGCTGTCCTGTCATCCTCAGCTCAGCAGCACAGGGCTACCAGCAAAGTCAGAAATGTGCGGCTGAAGGCATCCTGGTGACTGGGTTAACCTTTCAGGTGCAGCTCTGCCACACCTCCATAAAAATCCTCAAGGGAAGGAAAAGTGTAGCTTGAGCAAAAAGGAGCCACGTCTGAGTTTGCTGTTTCCAAGAGGCCACACATTTATCCTCTAGTACCAACAACGCACTTCCTCAGCCCTCTGGTTCTCCAGAGTTCCTTGGTCACTAACTACAAAAAACCCTTAATTTTTTAAAGAACCCTTATATTTCAGCAGGGGGGGCTTTTCCTCTTTTAATCCAAGCAGAGAAGTTTGAGGCTGGTGCTCTTTGAAACACTCCCACAGAGACTCCAGCTGTTCAGCAATGGCATCCCTTGAGCATCACACTTTTTAGAATTCCTGCAGAATCATAATCCCCCAGGTGCAATAAATGTTCATCTTGGAATTTAGCTCTCTGAGGACTTTCTCCCTCTGTTACCTCCCACAATTTAGGAGTAAAACAGCAATTGCTTGACATTCTCTGGCAAGGATGAGATGGCACCTCTAACCATCCCCTCAGCTGGAGTCTGACACCCCAAGT